TTGAGCCACTGCACTGCAGCCTGGATGACAAAGTGAGACCCTGTTTTAAAAAAAGAACAAAAAACTTTATCAACTACTGTATTTGGTTACCCTGAAATATAGTCCATAAAGCAAAAGCAAGATACATGTGTGAATATTTTCCTTTAGTTAGCACTTTTCAGAATAATCCCCTAGTAACCCTCAGAGTCTATCAATGAGGGTTTGTCTTTTTTTTGAGATGGAGTCTTGCTCTGTCACCAGGCTGGAGTGCGGTGGTGCAATCTAGGCTCACTGCAAGCTCTGCCTCCCAGGTGTTCAAGCAATTCCCCTGCCTCAGCCTTCCGAGTAGCTGGGACTACAGGTGTGCACCATTGTGCCTGGCTAATTTTTTGCATTTTAGTAGAGACAGGGTTTCACCATGTTGGCCAGGATGGTCTCCATCTCTTGACCTCGTGATCTGCCTGTCTCGGCCTCCCAAAGTGCTGGGATTACAGACATAAGCAACCACACCCGGCCAGAGGCTTTGCCTTTTTTTTTAGGTATTATAAAGTCATGGACTTAAAAATATGTGTTTAGTTGATCCATTTCAATTCATTACAGTCACTATTCTTTTTCTTTTTTAAAAAATTATTTGTAGAGATGAGGTATTGCTATGTTGCCCATGCTGGTCTCAAACTTCTGGGCTCAAGCGATCCTCCCTCCTCAGCCTCCTGAAGTGTTGGGATTACAGGCAGGAGCCACTGTACCCAGCCTACAGTCACTATTCTTATTGATGCTTGCTCTGCCTTTGGCCAGTGAAACCACTCAACTCTCCATCCACCTAAGTATCTTGGAAGGCTTGTCTTCTGAAATAAGATGTTCCAGGACTATGTTGTGCTTTGTCTGCCTCAGATCTGGAAGGAGTCTGTTCAAGGAGTTCTGGTTCCTTTTACAGTTGACCCTTAAACAAAGCAGAGGTTGGGGTGCCGACCTCCGCACAGTTGAAACTCCAGGTATAACTTTTGAATCCCCCAAAACTTAACTACTCATAGTCTACTGTTGACTGGAAGCCTTACCAATAACATAAAGAGTCCATTAATCTATATTTTGTATATGTATTATATACACTATTCTTATCATAAAGTAAACTAGAGGGCTGGGTGAGGTGGCTCACACCTGTAATCTCAGCACTTTGGGAGACCGAGGTGGGCAGATCATGAGGTCAAGAGATTGACACCATCCTGCCCAACATGGTGAAACCCTGTCTCTACTAAAAATACAAAAGTTAGCTGGGCATGGTGGCAGGTGCCTGTAGTCCCAGCTACTTGGGAGGCTGAGGTAGGAGAATCACTTGAAGCTGAGAGGCAGAGGTTGCAGTGAGCTGAGATCATGCCACTGCACTCCAGTCTGGTGACAGAGCGGGACTCCTCTCAGGAAAAAAAAAAAAAAAAAAAGCTAGAGAAAAGAAAATGTTATTAAGAAAATCATAAGGAAGAGAAAATATATTTACTACTCATCAAATGGAAGAGGATCGTCATAAAGGGCTTCATCCTCATCGTCTTCACATTGAGTAGGCTGAGGAGGAGGGAGAAGAAGAGGTGTTGGTCTTGCTGCCTTAAGTGTGGCAGAGGGGGAAGAGGCAGAGCAGGTGCAAAGGGAGGCAGGTGGCACACTTGGTGTAACTTTTGAGATGGAGTCTCAGTCCGTCACCCAGGCTGGAATGCAGTGGTCTATCTCTGCTCACTGAAACTTCTGCCTCCCGGGTTCAAGTGATTCCCCTGCCTCAGCCTCCCAGGTAGCTGAGATTACAGGCATGCGCCACCACACCTGGCTAATTTTTGTATTTTTTTTTTTTTTTAGTAGAGATAGGGTTTCACCATGTTGGCCAGGCTGGTCTGGAACTCCTGGCCTCAGGTGATCCGCCCACCTCGGCCTCCCAATGTGTTGGGATTACAGGCGTGAGCCACCTTGCCCAGCCCTTGGTGTAACTTTTATTGAAAAAAAAAAAAAAAAAAAATCCAAGTGTAAGTGGGTCCTCGAAGTTTAAAACCCATATTGTCCAAGGGTCAACTGTATCGGGAACTAGAGAGGCGTACCGTATTTTTTGTTTGATATCTGCCGCAATGGGAGAGAAACCTACTTTGGATGCAATACCTGTAAAGAGTGATGATTTCAGAAGAGGCCTCAGGATGGTGTATTTGTGGGCAGTGGGCGGGGCTTGTTGATGAGCTAACCCTTCATTTACGTTGACAAACAGGTGACAAACAGGCCATCCGAGCTACGTGGCCAAGTCACACTGAGAGACCTTCTCCAGAGTGTGAAGTTTGGCAGCTTAGGCCCCCACCCTGACATCACTTGCAGCCCGGGCATTCTGCGACTTCAGGTGCGTAAGGAACATTTCCGGCACCAGGTGCGCCCTGGGACTTTCCCGAGACCTGGCCCCCCGCCACCGCCGAGTGGGTGTGGGTGCCGCGGCGGCGGCGGGGAACAGACGGAGGCCCGGGGCTGCCCCACCCCGGCTCCCGAACCTCGGCGCCCTCTGTCGGCCACGCTGTGTGGGATGGGGCGAGTCAGGGCGGGGCTCGCCCTGGAGTCTCCGCCCCTTCTTCCCAGGGTGGGGCGGGGTGGTGGTTACCCGCAAAGGCTGCAGAGGTTTCGCAAGGACATGACATTTATGGGAAAAAAAACACCATCACGCACTGTTGCCAGTCAGGGCTAGTGAGCTGAACTAGTTTTCTGAAGCCCGCGGAGGGAGGGGCCGGGGCGGAAACGTCCAGCCCAGTGACTCGCGGCCTACTGCCCCTCCAAAACCACGGCAGTGTGCCCTGAGCCCCGGGGCACCCGATGGGGCACGAGCCCGCACCCCAACTGCGTCCGGGCCTGCCGCTGGGGCGACGTCACTGTCACTACACTGGGAGTCAGCAGAATGAGGGCACTCTCGCCTTTCTTTCTCCTCCCTACAATTCCAGAAATGAGGCCCCAGAGCCCAGGCTGATCTAACCAGCCGCCACCCCAGCTGGGGTTTGGATTGGAAGGCTGTGAAACGACCGAATTAGGATGGCTTGGGAATAAAAAACAAGGGAGTCAGGTGCTTTAACCACGGAATGGGCTCAACCTAGGTCGTTTAGAGGTGCCGGGCAAGAGGGGGGTAACTACCCCTCCCCCATCCTGTTCTGAGGCAGGCAGCAGGGGTGGCCACAGGGGCTGTGTGTGTCCTTGTTAGGGCCTCAGAAAAACCCAGGGACTGGGAGGCAGGAGGACTGGGTACACACTGGGTCCCAGCTCCACCTTCATCTGTCACTCTGGGGAGCAGGTCACTTAACCTCTCTGGGCCTCAGTTTCCTCACTTGAAGAATGAGGGGTCTGGACAAGATTATGGAATACTGTGTTTTGAGTACTATCTGCGGCCTAGGAACTGCGAGTCCCTGTCCCGACACCGTCCAGTATGTCAGAGAAAAAGGAAGGGTCAGAGGCCAAGGCTGTCACTCACCTGGCTCTCTTTCTGTAGCTACAAATTCTCACATGGGCTTCAGTTCTCTTCAGCAAACAATTTTGAACTTCTGCCTGTGTGCCAAACACAGGCTCAGGCCCAATGTTTGCAGAGCCTGGCGCAAGAGTATGCACAGAGGACCATATAGTGTTTGTCTGAATATTTAAAACCTACACATCAAGCTAACAAACTGTTAAATAAAACATGTTCTATCCTCCTATCTGAGCAGATACACCTTTGTAACATTCTGAAAGGTCAAGTTCAAGTCTGCAGTTCTTGTATTCCTTAGCATTCTGGGCTAGAGTGTAATGGCACAGAGAGTGGTCCCAGCTCAAGGCTGTGACGTGGTTTCCCTCTGTTCCCAGGCTGGATCCATCCTATGCTATGAGGGATCTTTCCCACACACGTCCTCATGTCCAAGCTCTGTCCACATCTCTGCAAGTGTCTGCCCCTTAAAGGGTCTCTTCCTGAGTGTGCACACTGGTGAGGCAGTCCACCTTTAGGAGACTGGACCTAGAGAAGTGGGTTCAGAACCTGTTGGGCAGGCAGGGAATTCCCAGGCCCCAGATATCCAGAACATGGTTCTGGGTGGGCAAGTCCCTTGGGCCCGGTGACTCCTTGCCCTATGTCTCCCTGCATCTTGTCCTGTCTGAAGGCGACACCAGCCATTGTGGGAGTGCAGACTTGGATCAAGCACAGCCCCTCCAAGGAGCCCATCCATCCAAACACAATGAACTCTGGCTGGGCATGGTGGCTCACTCCTGCAATCCCAGCACTTTGGGAGCCCGAGGCAGGTGGATCACTTGAGGTCAGGAGTTTGGGACCAGCCTGGATAATGTGGTGAAACCCAGTATCTACTAAACATGCAAAAATTCGCCGGGCGTGGTGGTGCATGCCTGTAGTTCCAGCTACTCAGGAGGCTGAGGAAGGAGAATTGCTTGTACCTGGGAGGCAGAGGTTGCAGTGAGCTGAGATCGTGCCACTGCACTCCAGCCTGGGTGACAGAGTGAGGCTCTGTCTCAAAAACAAAAACTAAAAAAAAGTGGCTATTCCTCAAGGATTTAGAACTAGAAATACCATTTGACCCAGCAATCCCATTACTAGGTATATACCCAAAGGGTTATAAATCATTCTACTATAAAGACTCATGCATATTATTGTGGCACTGTTCACAATAGCAAAGACTTGGAGCCAACCCAAATGCCCATCAATGATAGACTAGATAAAGAAAATGTGGCACATATACACCATGGAATACCATGCAGCCATAAAAAGGATGAGTTCATGTCCTTTGCAGGGAAATGGATAAAGCTGGAAACCATCATTCTCAGCAAACTAACACAAGAACAGAAAACCAAACACCACGTTCTCACTCATAAGTGGGAGTTGAACAATGAGAACACATGGACACAGGGAGGGGAGCATCACACACCGGGGCCTGTTGGGGGGTGGGAGGATAGGGGAGGGACAGCATTAGGAGAAATACCTATTGTAGATGACGGGTTGATGGGTGCAGCAAACCATCATGGCACATGTATACCTATGTAACAAACCTGCGCATTCTGCACATGTACCCCAGAACTTAGTATAGTTAAAAACGTAAAAAGAAAAACAAAACAAAAACCTCCCCAGCAGCCCATGAGTGGCTGGAGTAGGCTCTGAAAGGAAGGGCCTTTCTCCCACCTTGATCTTTAAGTTTCTCCCAGGAGATGTCAGTCAATCACATTTCCCGTAACAACCCCGGCCCACCTGCTTTTCTCCCTGGAGCAAGGTTTTGATTAAGGGCTGTTCATCCTCCCAAGTCAGTGACACCAGCAGGCCTGGTGGATAGGCTCCTTCCTTTTTATGCCAAGAGTCTCTGAAGCCTCCTTATTTTCCACTTGGGAGAAGTGTTTCAATTCACAGATTGGGGAGAAGGTCTTCCTTAGTGGGATCCTAGTGCCAGAGCACCAGGCCCACTGGCCTGGAGAAGGTGGAAGCCAAGATCGACCCAAAAACCTGCAAACAAAGGTTGTGGGTACAGACAGGCTGGCTGTGACAGTTGCAATTCGGCCTCTGGAGTGCTTTGGGGGAGTGGGGGCTTCATTGGTCCAAGGCTTGGAGTGATGGCTACAGGGACCACCTCTAATGCCGGTGGTCACAATGAGAAGGCTACCCATTACTGTCATCTAATAAGCGAGGTGAGTCCAACCCTGGGGACAGAGATGTCATTTGAGAGGCTTCCCCCACCCACATCCCCACCACATCCTAGTATTCTCCTCTTTCCAGCAGGTTAGACAAGTTTAGCCACATTTTGGATTTCAAGGTTCAAATGGAAGAAAACAAAAATTCCCCAGGGCATGGTGGCCTGAGATGCTTAGATTCGCATCCAGAACCCTTGTTGTGGGAAGGGAACTCCTGGCTTCCTCCCCTCAGCACTGGCTCACCAAGCCCTGCATGGCCAGAACCTGGCAGGTTGCCATGGATACCTGGGATTGCTGTCCTAGCAGACAGCAAAGGCTTGCTGGGGCCAGGAGAATGTGGGGGCACCTGAACTGCTGGCGAGAAGGGCTAGAGAAACAGGCCCCCCCTGCTGCCCTCATTTTGATCAGACCCACTCCATCAGTCTCCTAAAACAGGGCCTTCCAAACTTTACCGGGCACAGAAATCCCCTTCTCCTCCCAACCTGGTTAAAATGCAGATGCTGGCCAGGCACGGTGGCTCACACCTGTAATCCCAGCACTTTGGGAGGCCGAGGCAGGTGGATCACTTGAGGTCAGGAGTTCAAGACCAGCCTGGCCAACATGGTGAAACCCTGTCTCTACTAAAAATACAAAAAATTAGCTGGGCGTGGTGGCACGCGTCTGTAATCCTAGCTACTCAGGAAGCTGAGGCAGGAGAATCTCTTGAACCCGGAAGGCGGAGGTTGCAGTGAGCTGAGATCTCATTACTTCACTCCACCCTGGGCAACAGAGTGAGACTCCTTTTCAAAAAAAAAAAAAAAAAGAAAATGCAGATGGTGATTCGACAGGTCTGGGGCAGGGGCAGAAGGCACTGAGATACTATTTTCCTAACCAGCTCTCAGGTGCTGCTGCTGGTCCACCGGCCACACTCTGAGTAGCTAGGGCCTAAACTGAGTCCTGGTGGGTTTTAGAAACCTCAGCCAGATTCTGAAGGTGACCCCTGGACCCACTGCCTTAGGCCACCGCTTCCAGCCTTAACCTCAGTGGGAACCTCTAGCCGTCCTGTAGTGGAAGGACCCTCTCTCTAGTCTGCTTTTGGATCATTCACCATCAACCACTTCAAAGAAAGGATATCAGCAGCCTGCATTTTGGGGAAATATTTTAAGCTGTCCTGTCCCTTCTCCAGCTCTCCAAGTTATGTAATGCGTCCTTGTTGAAAATGCTGATAATGCTATTTGGGTGGCAGAAAGCCAATTTCAGGCTACATATTGCTTCGGGTTGGGGCTGGGGCTGGGGTCAGGGAAGGGGATGGGGCCTCGGGAGGGTTTAAGGAGAGAAAGGGGCCAGGCAGATGGAGAGAGGGCCAGGGTGGTCAAGGCCTGGGGCTAAAGCCGATTGGTATGTCAGCAAAATCTGTCACTGGCTTTAGTGATTCGAAAGGCAGACACATTCTTTCATCTCTGTTAATCCTCATCTGATACAGAGGATTTTCCTGCCATTAAATCTGGAGAAAGAGAAATAAGCACTCAAACCTGCACAAGCCACTATTCCTCTTCACCCCTCGCTCCCGTCCCCGCGACCCCACCTCCACTTCTCTCTCAGACCATTTTTAGCCTCTGTGGCTGCCTGACTTGGGAGATGGATAGGCTGGGGGAGTGGAGGGGTGCCTTAGAGGAGCAGGACCAGGCAGACTCCCAGGACGGTAAGCAACCTTTGAGGACCATTCACTAACCCTTCTCTGCAGAGGTTTCCTCTCCGTCCATTTCCTTGCTGGGTTGTGAGTGATGCCATCTGAGTTGCTGTCAGGGCTGTAGCCTGATGAAGGGTTTCCTGATAGATCCATCCATTTGCGGGTAGTTTCTGATTGTCTGTTGTTACTGGTTTCTCTTAGCTCAACACCTGGGTGGTTGAGGAGGAAGGAATGTGAGGAAGAAAGAAAGGCAAGGCATGCAGGAGGAAGTGCGGAGGCATGGGAGGGTTCTCACGGGGCCCTCCTGGGCACTGGGTGACCTGTCCTTTCTCCCCTCAGGTAGGGATCCCATGGCTGGGTGGTCCTAAGCCGCCGGGTGTATGAAGGGCCAAGGGATGCTGGTCCTGCTTCTGCATGGTGAGTTCTCCTGCCGGTGGGTGCAGGGGTGGGAAGAGGTGTGGAAGCCACAGAACTTCTACCCATAGAGTCTTTAAGTGGGTTCTGGGACAGCTGTATCTGGACTTCTGCTCAGGTTTCACTGATGGCAGGTGGTGGGGATTTTTGTTTGCCTAAAGCAAAACTCCTGAGCCGAATATATGAAATAGTCCTCTTGGTGAATTTCTTATTCTAATTTCAGATATGAATTCATTGGTGTGATAACCAAAAGCTACAGTGTTTTTTTTTTCTTTTCTTTTTTTCTTGAGACAGAGTCTTACTGTCACCCAGGCTGGAGTGCAGTGGCATGATCTCAGCTCACTGCAACTTCCACCTCCTGGGTTCCAGTAATTCTTGTGCCTCAAGCCTCCTGAGTAGCCTGGAACTACAGGCACCAGCCACCGCTCCTGGCTAATTTTTTTTTTTTTTTTTTTGCGACGGAGTTTTCGCTCTTGTTACCCAGGCTGGAGTGCAATGGCGCGATCTCGGCTCACCGCAACCTCCGCCTCCTGGGTTCAGGCAATTCTCCTGCCTCAGCCTCCTGAGTAGCTGGGATTACAGGCACGCACCACCATGCCCCGCTGATTTTTTGTATTTTTAGTAGAGACGGGGTTTCACTATGTTGACCAGGATGGTCTCGATTTCTTGACCTCGTGATCCACCTGCCTCGGCCTCCCAAAGTGCTGGGATTACAGGCGTGAGCCACCGCGCCCGGCCTGGCTAATTTTTTTTGTATTTTTAGTAAAGACATGGTTTTGCCGTATTGCCCAGGCTGGTCTTGAACCCCTGAGCTCAGGTGATCCACCTGCCTCGGCCTCCCAAAGTGCTGGGATTATGGCGTGAGCCACTGTGCCCGGTCTACAGTGGTTTCTAATCACATTATTTTAAGCTCATTTAGTTAAAAACAAAAGTCCCTTAAAGAAACCACCTTCCCAAAGGAAAAAGAAAAAATGAAAAATGTCTTGGAACTGTGGGATTATGGATGCTGAAGTTGTTTTTCAAAGGTTCTTGCCCTGTTATGTGCACTTTAATATACAAAGAAGACTCATTATGCAATAATTTCCCCAGCTCTAGCTGTTGCAATCTGACTGAGATAACCCGAGGAAAAATCCTTTAAGTTCTTCAGTAAATGATTCTACACAAAGAATCTGTTTTTTTCTGACCCTCAAGTGAATTTAATTATTTGAGATATGATGGTCTATGTAACAGACCTTTGTATGCGATGCTGGTAAAGAATTTTTTTTTTTTTTTTTTGAGACGGAGTTTCACTCATGTTACCCAGGCTGGAGTGCAATGGCGTGACCTCGGCTCACCGCAACCTCCGCCTCCTGGGTTCAGGCAATTCTCCTGCCTCAGCCTCCTGAGTAGCTGGGATTACAGGCACGCACCACCATGCCCAGCTAATATTTTGTATTTTTAGTAGAGACGGGGTTTCACCATGTTGACCAGGATGGTCTCGATCTCTTGACCTCGTGATCCACCCGCCTCGGCCTCCCAAAGTGCTGGGATTACAGGCTTGAGCCACCGCGCCCGGCATGGTAGAGAATATTTTACCAGATCATTCTAAAACAGGAGTAATGGAGTTTTCCTCCCTTTATTCCACCTCTTCAAAAACCAGAACTTGCTCCGTTCAACCAACAGGCATACACTGGGTGCCTTCAATATGCTCGAGGGATATTTATGAGGAATATGATAGCATGGTCTTTGTCCTTGAGAAAATTCTTTTATAGGAGATTCAATAAATAAGCAATACAAAAATTGGAGCAAGGCACGTGGAACACTTTGATAAATAGGACAGGACTTCCTACCTCGAGGAGGCTCTAAAGAACAGAAGTTGATATTTATATAATTACTAACAGCCAACTTCTTTTTTTTTTTTTTCTTTTTTCCTTTGAGACTGAGTTTCCCTCTTGTTGCCCAGGCTGAAGTGCAATGGCACGATCTCAGCTCACCGCAACCTCTGCCTCCCAGGTTTAAGTGATTCTCCTGCCTCAGCCTCCTGAGTAGCTGGGATTACAGCATGCGCCACCACACCCAGCTAATTTTTGTATTTTTAGTAGAGACGGGGTTTCTCCATGTTGGTCAGGCTGGTCTTGAACTCCAAACCTCAGGTGATCTGCCCTCCTTGGCCTCCCAACGTGCAGGGATTATAGGGGTGAGCCACCGCGCCCAGCCAAAAGCCAACTTCTAGCCATTCCTCCTACCTTGAAAGGATATGAAACTTGATTGACTCATTGGGACAGAATGTTTGCTTCCAAGAGCCAGTATCATTTTAAACGTGCACCAAAAGCTCTATCATTCCTCACAGAAAGCAGACAGTATTCATAGCTGCACACTGCAAAACAGGAACTGTCCCTGCTACAGAAACCCAAAATATATCCAGACTTCTTGTGACAAGTTGGAGAGCTCAGCAGTGATATCATTTGCTAACAATAGATGCACTTAAAATTAATGACCATCTCCACATCCCCTGGCACTTTAATTTAAAGCACACTCTAGCAAGCACAGAGAATATTTCTCTGACTGCAAGGCACAAGCAATACGGACAATATGTTCCCGAGAAGCAGGCAGGGATAGTGCCCTACCTCCTTGACCAGAAAAAAAAAGAAAAATGACTAAGTGAGCCTCACAAAACAAGACCTTGGGGAAATCAGAAGTGGCTCGCAGCAGGGAAATTTGGGGCAAGAGCAATTCTCCTCTGGACACACAGGGCTCCTGGAAGTGCTCCACTTCTCAGATGCATAGGTGCACATACCTTGACCTCCTTCCCCCATGTTAACCCCTGGGCTCTTCCCGCTGTTCACAGCATAATATCTGAACCTCTTAACTTGCTTTAAAGGGTCTTTCACATGTGACTTGCTCTACACTATGAGTCTTCAAAGAGGGTCAGGGGTTGTGTGTATGTGTTTTGTGTGTGTGTGTGTGTGTGTGTTTGTTTTGTTTTTCTTTGAGACAGGGTCTTGCTCTGTTGCCCAGGCTGGAGTGAAGTGGCATGATCTTGACTCATTGCAACCTCTGCCTCCAGGGTTCAAACGAGTCTCCTGCCTCAGCCTCCCGAGTAGCTGAGGTTACAGGCATGCGCCACCACGTCCAGCTAATTTTTGTATTTTTAGTAGAGATGGGGTTTCACCATGTTGGCCAGGCTGGTCTCGAACTCCTGACCTTGTGATCTGCCTGTGTCAGCCTCCCAAAGTGCTGGGATTACAGGCGTGAGCCATCGTGCCCAGCCAATCCTTTTTTTTTAAAGACAGGTCTCACTCTGTCACCTAGGCTGGAGTACAGTGGCACAGGCAGAGCTCACTGCAGCCTTGACCTCCCCGGCTTAAGCAATCCTCCCACCTCAGCCTCCCAAGTAGCTAGGAGCACAGGTGTACATCACCACACCTAGCTAATTTTTCTGTTTTTCATAGAGATGAGGTCTTGTCATGTTGCCCAGGCTGATCCTGAACTCCTGGGTTCGAGTGATCCTCTCACCTTGGCTTCCCAAAGTGCTGGGATCATAGGCATGAGCCACTGCCCCTGGCCTCCACATGGTCTTTGAAGGATTTGTGCCTTGATGAGGTTAAATCCTGTGACAAGAATGGTTTATAGAACCCACGCCTAGCTTGGGTCAGTGTTTTCACATTTATCTGCAATGAGATGCATCTGTCCCCCATAGCTGTCTACACATTACAGATGAGGAAACTGAGAGACAGAGGTTGTCTGAAGTTTTTTTTTTTTTTTTGAGAGTCTTGCTCTGTCGCCCAGGCTAGAAGGCAGTGGTGCGATCTCGGCTCACTGCAACCTCCGCCTCCCAGGTTCAAGTGATTCTCCTGCCTCAGCCTCCCAAGTAGCTGGGACTACAGGTGCGTGATGCCACACCCAGCTAATTTTTTGTATTTTTAGTGGAGACAGGGTTTCACCATGTTGGCCAGGCTGGTGTCAAACTCCTGACCTCAGGTGATCTGCCTGCCTTGGCCTCCCAAAGTGCTGGGATTACAGGTGTGAGTCATCGCGCCCAGCCTGAGGTTTGTTTGTTTGTTTAAAAAAAAAAAAAAGCAGTGTGAGAGAACAGGGAGGAGAGTTAGTGTCCTTAGAGTTTATGAGAGAACTAGGTCAAGAGGCTGTGCCCTCAGGGGAGTGTTTTAAGACTGCATGGTCTGGAAAGCTCTGCATGTGAATCCGGGAGTAATGACAGAGGCTGGCTGAGTAGGGACCTATCATGAGCCCAGGCCAGTCCTGCTACATTTCCCATCTTCCCCTCCCTGCCTCAGGCTGGGGAAAAAAAAAGCACTGAAGCCTTTTCCAATTTCCAGATGGATCCTTCCCCAAAATACCGGTGCAAGAAGAGAAATTGCTAAGCAACTGCCAAATGAGTTTTACCTTCTCTTTTCGCAAACTGTAATCTTTATTTTTAATTTGGTAAATGTTTTTCTGGCCAAGGTATTCCCATGGAACTCAGCTCTGAATGGCCAAGGAGATTTGTTTTTGGAATGATCACTGCTGATTCCGGGAAAGACTATTTTTTCATTTGGATTCAGCAAAACCAGGGGTGTCCTAAACAGTGTTTGATTCGATGTTATATATTTCCTGTCAGTGAATGGGGAGGAGTTTCCTTTTGGTTGAGGGGTGCTGCCTGGTACTGAATTTGAGTTGTTTTCTCTGTCAAGGTGAAGAGGTCACTGGCTGGGCGCGGTGGCTCATGCCTGTAATCCCAGCACTTTGGAAGGCTGAGGAGGGTGGATCACTTGAGCAGGTGATTCAAAACCAGCCTGGCCAACATGGTAAAACCCTGTCTCTACTAAAAATACAAAAATTGGCTAGGTGTGGTGGTGCGCACCAGTAGTCCCAGCTACTTGGGAGGCTGAGGCAGGAGGATCGCTTGAACCCGGGAGGCAGAGGTTGCAGTGAGCCGAGATCCCACCATTGCATCACATGGTTCTTCAGGAAAAGGAGGAGAGGCCAGGAGGAGGGAGATGGTTCTAGAGAGATTCAGGGAGCCTGTCTGATTCAGAACATTGCTCAGGACTCTTGCTGCAAAGCATCTACTCTAGGTCGTTGAAGCCAAGAAGGAGTTTGGTTAGGGACATTAGGTATTCCCAGGCTTCCTACTAGAGGCCACCCTGCCCAGAGCAATGCCTAAACCAGGAAGTGGGGAGCTCCAGCAAAAACCCTGTGGCCACTGCCATTGGTGGCCATACATGGCTGCGCCAGGAATCATGTTGGGTACTGGGTGCCAGAAATGTAAGCCTAAAAGCCTCTTCCACCATTCTGGCCAGACAATGGTTTCTGCCTGCTGCCTACTTCTGAATCCAAGTTTCACTGGGTGTCTTATTGACAAAGCTATGTCACATGCCTGAGACCTAACTGGAAGGGGAGTTGAGAAAGAGAGTTTCCGGCTTCCATGTTGAGGAGGCAGGACTTATGATGTTGGAAATTCCCTAAATGTGGAAAGAGTGCTTAAAAGGAAGCCAGAAAAGATGTCAAATGTCGACTACAATCAGAGATGGTTTGCTTGCAACAAACAGAAATCTACTTGTCCACAAAGATGTCTTTAGTGAATTTCCGAAATGGAACCAGAGAAATGTCATAGAAACAGCTCTAGTAGGGTCTCATGGGAACTAGAGGGCTGGCCAGCAGCTTCCTGCTCTCCATGGGCTTTGTGAGCTCCATCTCTGTGATTCTCACATCAGATCTATTCCTCTCTCTGCTCATGCTATGGTCTGAATGTTTGTGACCCCACTCCCCACCCAATTCATATACTGAACCCAACTCCCCAAGACGATGGTATCAGGAGGTGGGGCCTTTAGGAGGCGATCAGGTCCTGAGAGTGGAGCCCTCATGAATGGAATTAGTGCCCTCATAAAAGAGTCCTCGGAGAGCTCCCATGCCCCTTCCACCATGTGAGGACACAGTGAGAAGACAGCTGTCTATGAAGCAAGAAATGGGCCCTTGGCAGACACAGAATCTATCTCGATCTTGGATTTTCCAGCCTCTGGAACTGTGAGAAATCAATTTCTGTTGTTTGTAAGCCACCCAGTCTATGGTAGAGTGTTATGGCAGCCTGAACTGATTAAAACAATACACCAGCTTCCTCATCTTGCCTTTGGCTCCTGCTCCCCCATAACTTTGACCTGCACATGGCTTTGGTACAAATCCCAGCCCCAAAGCTAGACAGGTTGATGCTCACATGACCTTACTTACTGACCAGTCATTCAGTGCCTATTCCATTTTCACAGAGAAGGAAAGAATCTGTTTAGCTCTGTTTAGGTCAAAGTGTTCATCTGCAGTGCAAACAGCTGTGGCTGGGAGGAGGCGGCAAGACACATGGAGCTCTGAGTGGGGTATTTTTTTCTTAGAGGCAGTGGTTGGTAACACCTGCTGTCAAACCAGGGAAAATGAAAGCTACAACGACTCTCAAAGACCAGGAAGTGCAGTGTCTTAGTCTATTTTGTGCTGCTATTACTAGAGACTGGGCAATTTATAAAGAACAGATATCTATTTCTTACAGTTCTGGAGGTTGGGAAGTCCAAGACCGAGGGTCTCACATCAAGGGAAGGCCTTCGAGCGGTGCCGTCCCACGGCGAAAGGTGGAAGTGTGAGAGAGCAAGATGGGGCTGAACTTGCTTTTGTAACAAATCTCCTTTTGCAATAATGATATTAATCTATTCATGAGAACAGAGGCCTCACAACCTAACCACTTCTTAAAGGGCCCACCTCTCAACACTGTTGCAGTGGGGTTTAAGTCTCCAATATGTGAACTTTGGAGGACATGTTCAAACTATAGTATGCAGTTTCTTCAGTTTATAGTTAAAGCAATGAAAGCGCAGAAGGGCTAGGTGTGTGGGGTGGGAGATAGTACAGTATAGTGAAAAACAAACAAAGGTTGGCATCATTTAACCACTCTGAACCTCAGTTTCCTCCTTCATGAGAAGAGAAGAATGATCCTTACCTTGCATGGCTGTCATATTAAATGGACTAATGTCTATAGCAAGCTTAGCCCTAAGCAAATTCTTTTTTTGAGACAGAGTCTCACTCTATTACCTAGGCTGGAGTGCAGTGGCACAGTCTTGGCTCACTGCAGCCTCTGCCTCCCAGGTTCAAGTGATTCTCCTGCCTCAGCGCCACCCTGCCCCCACTGCCTCGCCCCACAAGTAGCTGGGACTAAGGTGCACACCACCACGCCCGGCTAATTTTTGTATTTTTAGTAGAGATGGGGTTTCACCATGTTGGCCAGGCTGGTCTTGAATCCTGACCTCATGATCTGCCTGCCTTGGCCTCCCAAAGTGCTAGGATTACAGGTGTCAGCCACTGTGCCCTGCCAAGCATTTTTTCATGTTTGTTGGCCATTTGTACAGCTTCTTTTGAGAACTTTCCAATAGCCATTCCTTTTGATTGCTGAGTAGTATTCCATTATATGGCTATATCATCATTTGTTTGCTCATTCAATTATTGATGGACATTTGCGTTGTTTCCAGTTTTGGGCTATTAAGAATAAAGCTGCCAAAGTCTTTGTATAGGCATATGCTTTTATTTCCCTATGAGTAGAATGGCTGGATTATAAGGTAGGCATTTGTTTGACTTTTAAAGAAACAACCTCATTGTTTCCAGTGGGGAAGTCCTGTTTTCAATTCCACTGGCCTTGTAAGAGAGTCCCAATGGTTCCACATGTTCTCCAACACTTTGCACCTGTTCTAGTCCCTTCAGGCTACTGCGTCAAAGTTCCATAAACTGAGTAGCTTATAAGCAACAGAAATTTTTATTATCACAATTCTGGAGGCTGAAAGTCCAAGATTGGGGTGCCAGCATGGTTGGGTTCTGGTGATAGCTCTTTTCTGGGCTGCAGACTGCTGTCTTCTTACAGTATGGCCAGTCTTTCTATTTCTAGTCGTTCGAATAGGTGGCTACTTTAATTTGCATCTCCCTAACAACCAATGATGTTGAGCATCTTTTCATGTGCTTATTTATCTTCTACCGTTTTTGGTGAAATGTTTCTTCAAATGTTTTACCCATTTATTAATTGGATTGTTTATTTTCTTACTGAGTTTTGGGAATTATTTATATATTTTCTTTCTTTCTTTTCTTTCTTTTTCTTTCTTTCTTTTTTTTTTTTTTTTTGTGAGACAGAGTCTCGCTCTGTTCCCCAGGCTGGAGTGCAGTGGCTTGATCTCAGTTCACCGCAGCCTCCGCCTCCCAGTTTCAAACAGTTCTCTTGCCTCAGCCTCCTGAGTAGCTAGGATTACAGGCATGTGCTACCACGTCTGGCTAATTTTTGTATTTTTAGTAGAGATGGGGTTTCCCCATGTTGGCCAGACAGGTCTCGAACTCCTGACCTCATTATCTGCCCGCCTCAGCCTCCCAAAGTGCTGGGATTACAGGTGTGAGCCACTGCGCCCTGCCAGGAGTTCTTTATATATTTTAGATACAAGTCTTTAATGAGATATGTGACTTACAAATATTTTTTCACGGTCTATTGCCCGTATTTTCATTCACTTTGCGGTGTCTTTCAAAGAGCAGAAGTTGGCTGGGCACGGTAAACTGGTTGAACCTGGGAGGCAGAGGTTGCCATGAGCCAAGATTGTGCCATTGCTTGGGCAACAAGAGTGAAACTCCATCTCAAAAAAAAAAAAAAAAAAAAAAAAAAAAGAAAGAAAGAAAAAAAAGAAAGCAGAAGTCTAATGATGTTAAACATTTTGATGAAGTCTAATTTATTATTATTTAAAATTTTATGGTTATTGCTTTTTCTTCTCCTCTTTATTTGTCCCAAGAAATCTTTACCTACCTCTAAGTAACAAAGATACTCTCCTGTGTCATCTCCACGAAGCTGTATAAGTTTTAGCTTTTACGTTTAGGTTTACGGTCCATCTAAAATGAATTTTGTGTATGGTGTGATGTAGGTGTTAAGATTCTTTTCACTTTCCATGGATTATACTATGCATCCTTATCATGGTCTACCTTGAATGAATCTTATACTTCTTCAACTCTAATATAAGATCCTTACGAGAGTACAATTAAATTCACCTCCCTTCTCATCCCTTATGTAATCGTTGTCATAGTTTTCATTTACATACGTTATAAACTCTACAATACATTGTTATTTTTGCTTTAAATAGTCACTTGTCTTTTAAGCAATTAAGGTGAGAAAACAGTAATCTTTTATATTTAGTAACATACTTATCATTTCCATTGCTCTTTATTCCTTCCTGTAGACCTAATTTTCATCTAGCATTTTCCTTCAGAATGAAGAATGTCTTCATTTCTTGTGCAGAAGATCTGCTGGAGATGAATTTTCTCAGATTTTGTTTACCTGAAAGTATCTCTATTGCCCTTCATTTCTGAAGATATTTGCACTGGAGAGAGAGAGAATTCTAGGTTGCCAGGTTTTGCTTTACATTTAGCATTTAAAGATGTCATCCTGTTGTCTTATGGCCTCCACTGTTCATGAGAAGCCAGACATTGTCTTAGTCCATTCAGGCTGGTGTAACAAAAATACCATGAATTGGGTGGGTTATAAACAACACGCGTTTCTTTCTCTCACTTCTGGAGGCTGGGAAGTCCAAGATCCAGGCACCATCAGGTTTGGTGTCTGGTGAAGGCCCATTCTGCAGGTCCCTTCTCTTTTTGTCCTCACCTGACAGAAAGGGAAGGAAGCTCTCTGAGGTCTCTTTATAAGGGCACTAATCCCTTTTTTTTTTTTTTTTTTTTTTTTTTAAGACAAGGTCTGGCTCTGTGGCCCAGGCAGGAATGCAGTGGTATGATCTCCACTCACTGCGTCCTCTGTCTCTTGGGCTCAAGTGATCCTCCCATCACAGCCTCCCAAGTAGCTAGGACTACAGGCACGTGCCACCACACATAGCTAAGTTTTGTATTTTTTGGTAGAAGACAGGATTTCGCCATGTTGCCCAGGCTGATCTCAAACTCCTGGGCTCAGGTGATCCACCCACCTTGGCCTCCCAAAGTGCTAGGATTACAGGCATGAGCTACTGCGCCTAGGCACTAATCCCATTATTATTTACTCTCATGACCTAAGCACCTCTCAAAGTCTCCACCTCCTAATACCATCACCTTGGGGGTTAGGATTTCAACATATAAATTTGGAAGTTGGATACAAATATTCAGACCATAACTCTGATTATCTTTTACTATTTTTTATTCTATGTAATATATCTTTTTGTTTTGGATACTTTTAAGAAGTTTCTATCCTTGGTTCTCAGCAGTTTGGCTATGATGTGCTGTATGTGCGTGTGAATGAGTTTTATGTTACTTGGGGCTTCCTAAGCTGCTTGTTTTCATCAAATTTTGGAAACTGTCATCAATTATCTTCTGGCCATCTTCTCTATCTTCTCTCCTCTGGGACTCCACATACATGTATATTAGTCTAATTGCTTGAAATTGTTCCACAGGTCATTGAGGCTTTGATAACTTTTCCCCTAGTCTTTTTCTTTTTCTCTGTGTGCTTCACTTTGGTTAATAACTATTGACCTCTCTTCAAGCTTATAAAGATTTTCTTCTGCAGTGTCTAATGTGCTATTTATCTTGTTCAATTATTTTTAAAATTTCAGCTATTGTATTATTTCAGTACTAAGATTTCTACTGGGTTTGTTTTTAGAGTTTCCATACCTCTTCTAAAATTCAGATCCCCCATGTCTTTGCCTATGATACCCATCTTTTCCTGGAAATTCCTTAACATATTTACAGTAAATCTTTGCTTGGTAATTCCAACATGTGGGCTATCTGTGAATCTGGTTCTGCTGATTTTTTCTTCTTGATAAATGTCATGTTTTGCTGCTTCTTCACATGTCTAGTAGTAGTTGGTTGTACACTGGATACTGTGGATGACAGTGGTAGAAACTCTGGATTCTCTTGTCTTCTGTTGAAGAGTATAGAATTTTGTTCTGGTATTCAGTTAAATTACTGGCAGATCACCTTGTTACCCAAAAGGCTTGGTTTCAGGCTTTTTAAGGGTAGGCCTACTTGAGTTTTGCCCTTAGTCCTGGGAAATGGTCTCCATTCCTGAGGCATGGTGCTTTGGGGTTTCAGTGGAAAGCTCAAGGTATTTGGCAAGCTCCTCTAACTTGGCAGACCTTGAACTTTTTTTTTTTTTTTTAAGACAGTCTTGCTCTGTTGCCCAGGCTAGAGTGCAGTGGTGTGATCTCAGCTCACTGCAACCTCTGCCTATAATCCCGTACCCTCAGCTACTCTGCCTCCCGAATAGCTGGGACTACAGGTGTCACCACACCCGGCTAATTTTTTTGTATTTTTAGTAGAGATGGGGTTTTGTCATGTTAGCTAGGCTGGTCTCGAACTCCTGACCTCAAGTGATCCGCCTGCCTTGCTCTCCCAAAGTGCTGGGATTACAGGTGTGAGCCACTGTGCCTGGACTGGACCTTGACCTCTTAAACTGCCTCCTGTCACTGGGTAATTGCTGAAATCTGTTTAGGTCTTTTGGTGTTTAGTTCTTGTTTGCCCCTTGGGCTCCTTGGAGTCATCCCACACATATGCCCTTCAGGACTCAGCCAAGGACATAAGGGGAACCTGTGTACTAACTTTGTGGCTCCTCTTTTGAGGCTCACTCTTTTCCATGTTTTCCTTCCTCA